CTCTCCTCTTTTCCAAACTGTTTTCATTGCAGCTGTTCTGTTTTCCCTTCATTAGTGTAAGTTAGGAATATGGGGAGAGGGAGGAGAATAATTAAAACTCACATTTATTTATAGTTTTCTAGACCAGAGATTTAGAACTGAATGGAGTAAGTAGATGAGTCTAAATTATCTTCTTTTAGGGAGGGATGGGTTGGTTTTCAATTGCATACAGAATAGCTGCATTAGTTAGTAGTGCATTTCTGAATTATATGTATATGAATAAGTGTAAGTATATCTGGTAGGTAGCTGGTAAGGTGGTGGTCAGTGATCTCTACCTATTGTTATTCACATCAGTGTAGAAGTCTCTCTACTTGTGTATGGATAGGATCTAGGAGCTTGCTTCTAGTGAACAGAATATGGTAAAAGTGATGAGATGCTACTTCTGAGTTCAGGTTATAAAAAACTGTGACTTATGGGGTGCCTAGATGGCTTAGTCAGTTGGGCATCCAACTCTTGGTTTCGGCTCAGGTCATGATCTCACAGTTTCGTGGGTTCAAGCCCTGCATTGGGCTCTGTGCTGGCTCAGAGCCTGCTTGGGATTCTCTCTTTCCCTTTCTCTGCCCCTCCCCCACTCAGATTGTCTCTGTTTCTCTCAAATAAATAAAAACTGAAAAAACAAAACTGTGACTTACATCTTGCTCACACTTGCTCTGGCCCTTCTCACTTGCTTGTTCTGATAAAGCAAATGGCCAAGTTGTAAGCTGCCCTTTGGAGACGCTACATACAAGGAACTGTAGGTGGCCTCCAGTCAACAGTCTAGAAGAAACTGAGTCTCTCAGTTCAACAGATCATGATAAACAGAATCCTGCCAATAACCATGTCAATGAGCTTAGAAGCAAATCCCCCCCCTAGTTGAGCCTTCAGATGTGACTAAAGCCCTGGCCAACACTTTGATTGTAGCCTAGTGAGAGACTCTAAGCCAGAAAACCTAGCAAAGCCATGCCTGGATTCCTGACCCACAGAAACCGAGAAATAACAAATGTTGTTGTTTTAAGCCACTATGTTTTAGAGTGATTTATTATGCAACAACACATAACTAGTACAGTAGGGTTGCTAAACAGCCGAAGGATAAGCCATAGCAGATAAATGTTGGTTTTTGTCTTCCCAGAATCAAATGCTCTTTTCTGGTAAATATGCCTTGGTTTCCCTCTGGGGAACCATTCTCTCCATTATTCTCAGTAACCAAGAGGTTTAGATGGGGTTGATTCATCCTCCCCTCCATCTCCCAACTAAATACTCTAAACCTAGACTTGACACATGAGACCCAAGGCTGAGATTTCTGTTGAAATTACTGGAAGGAGAAAAAGCACTCTTCTTGATGGATCTTAAGTTTATTTTATTTTTTTTTTTTTTAATTTTTTTTTTTTTCAACGTTTTTATTTATTTTTGGGACAGAGAGAGACAGAGCACGAACAGGGGAGGGGCAGAGAGAGAGGGAGACACAGAATCGGAAACAGGCTCCAGGCTCCGAGCCATCAGCCCAGAGCCCGACGCGGGGCTCGAACTCACGGACCGCGAGATCGTGACCTGGCTGAAGTCGGACGCTTAACCGACTGCGCCACCCAGGCGCCCCAAGTTTATAGAAATATCAAGGCCACCAAAGAGGGAGAGGTTTTGTAAAAAAAAAAAAAAAAAAAAAAAAAAAAAAAAAAAAAAAAAAGCCAATACAGAGAAAAAGAAAGTCAAGGAAGAAAAAAAATGATGAAATCTTGTTATTTAAGCCTTTGAATTCAGTAATTCCTCAAGTCAGTCCATTTCTTGACTTCACATAAAGAAATAAGCTTCTTTCTTCATTGCTTACCTTAAATCAATTTGAGATGAATTTATGGGGGAAAAAAGAGATTTTCAACTAGGAGGTTCCATGAAAAGGGGGACCAAATTTGTTCTCATCACAATTATATTTCCCATTGCCTAGTCCAATGCCTGGCAAGTAGGGATCACTCAATAAATATCTAGTGAATGAGTGTATGAAAGTATTTTAAGAAAAACCACTGAATAGGCCCAATTTAGCAAAAATGCAATACAAATGTTTTATAATCACTGAGAAAGTAAAAACAATAAAAACAGTGTTCTAGTTCTAAAATTTTGAAAGATTATTTACAAACATTATTGTAAGTACAAAAACAATTTGGATTAGATAAGTCATTTAAACACCTCCACTGCTCATTTTATCTCATGTAAAAATCCTCTAATCTCTAGGATGACTCCTTTTTATTATGTAAGAAGAACTCCTCTTTCTAGATATATTCTCATCTTGGGGCATTTTTGAAATTAAGGCTAGAATTTATTTTAGCAATACTATTAGCTAATAGCCCCCCATGCACTATATGGATAAAATAATTATGTCCCCAAATCAATTGATTAGAACTCACAAGGCATCTTTTGTCATATACACAACACTATAAATAATGCTTTAGTTCCCAGGTTAATTAACAGAAATACCTACTTATATATAACATCACCTAGATCCAATAACTAATTTACAGGAAATACAGAAGATAGAGCAGTATGTCAAACCACACCATAGGGACACAATCAATAAAGTCCAGACTGTGGTAAACTCTGCTGGACAAACAATTTGGTTCCTTCAGCAAATAAACTGCAGGGGTAAAACCAGAGATGGAAGGGGAACCTATATATTAGGAAACTTAAAAGACACGTCAACCAATTGCAACATGTAAACCATTTTGGATCCTGATTTCAAAACAAACTTTTAAAAATGTGACACGTGGGAAACAGCTGAAAATTTGAACACTTCTTGCATATTTGATAATATTAAGGAATTATTATTTTTAAGGTATAATAATGGTATTGTGGTTATGTTAAAAGAGTCCTTCTCTTAGCTGTATATTGAAAATTTCACAGATAAAATATGATATCTGAATTGGCTTCAAAATAATTGGAGAAGGAGGAAAGTAGATATGGACAATGCCTGGGGCAAGCTTGGTCATGGGTTGGTTGTTAGGGCTGGGTGATGAGTACACAGTGATTCATCACACTATTCTGTTTGCTTCTGCATATGTATTAAATTCTCCATAAAAGGGGAACCTGGGTGGCTCAATTGGTTAAGCATCCGATTTCATCTCAGGTCATGATCTCCTGATTTGTGAATAAAAGCCCCATGTCAGGCTCTGTACTGACAACTCAGAGCCTGGAGCCTGTTTCAGATTCTGTGTTTTCCTCTCTCTCTCTCTGCCCTTCCCGCTCACTCTCTGTCTCTGTCTCTCTGTCTCTCTCTCTCTCTCTCAAATACAAACATTAAAAAAAAAATACTCCATAATAAAATGTTTAAAATTTAAAAACTAAGTAAACAGAACAAAGAAAAACTATAACATACCTAATTATTACAAATCTAGTGACCATATTATCCAAATAAAAAAATCTGGATACTTAGGCTAAAGAATATTTGAGTAGACCTAGAAATTACAAGATACATGCTTCCAAATAATTATAATAGTCTGAATTCTGAATATGAAGACAGAGGCAATTGATACAATAGGAGGAAGAAGAGTTAGAAGGTACAGTTCTCCTTTCTCTGGCAGAGGGTTTGCCATTGGTACATTGTCTCTGGCCTCTTCCTCGTATCTTTTGTCAACTAACTTTTAAAATATTTGTTGACCAGGCACCTGGGTGGCGCAGTTGGTTGAACATCTGACTCTTGCTTTTGGCTCAGGTCATGATCCCGGAGTCATGAGGTCGAGCCCCCTGTCGGGCTCTGCACTGAGCATGGAGCCTGCTTAAGATTCTCTCATTCTGGGTCTCCTGGGTGGCTCTGTCAGTTAAGCATCCGACTTTGGCTCAGGTCACGATCTTGCAGTTCATGGGTTCAAGCCCTGCATGGGGCTTTGTGCTGACAGCTCAGAGCATGGGGCCTGCTTCAGATTCTGTGTCTCCCTCTCTCTCTGTCCCTCGCCCACTCTCACTCTGTCTCTCTCTCAAAAATAAATAAACATTAAAAAAAAAAGATTCTCTCATTCTCCCTCTGCCCCTCTTGCCCACTTACACTCTCTCTCTCTAAAATAAATAAATTAAAACTTTTTAAATTTATTTGTTGAGCATCTATTATATGCAAGACACTGGGCTTGAGTGAAATAACAGTATTGTACACTTAAGAAGCTTATAGTGCATAGATAACCCCCCTACTGGAGTTCTCTGACCTGAACAACATTTCCCTCAACTTTCTACTGCTACATCCCAGCCTTCCTGTCCTTTAAAAAATTTTTTTGTTTAATCTTTATTTATTTTTGAAAGAGAGTTTGAGTGGGGGAGGGGCAGAGAGAGAAGACACAGGCTCCAGGCTCCAGGCTCCAGGCTCTGAGCCATCAGCATAGAGCCAGACATGGTGATCAAACCTACAAACTGTGAGACCATGACCTAAGCTGAAGTTGGACACTCATCTGACTGAGCCACCTAGGTGCCCCTGAACCTTCCCATCTTATTTCACTCCAAAAGTACCTGTTTTTCACTTCCTACCTCCCAATAAGAATTTCCCACTGTTTTCCTACTTTGGCTAGCCTTAGGTAATTCTTAAGAGGAAAAAAAATTTTGTAAACAGGTTAAATAAGCTTATACAATTATAAATTAATAAAATAATGTAACCCTGACAGTGACTAGCAGGCTAGGCCTGCCATGGGGTCAGGTCCAGGAGTTAAATCTAACTTGTTGCAGCTTCTTCCCTCCTTCCAGAACTGAATCCACATAGTCCCTAAATGCTTCAAGTTTCACCATCCCTGCCTCAACCCCATAACCACAGTAGCTGTGGGTACTCAGGTTCTGTATCAGTGAAAGGTTCTTATATTATGTCATGAAAAAGTCACCAATGGCATTGGTGAAATATATTTAATATGACTGAATTTTTATAAACTTGGTTTAAATACAATTAGTGAAGATAACTCCATATTCTGTATAGTGAGCTAATGTGAAAAGAGGCAGGTTTAATCAACCATGGAACATAATCATACCTGCATGGTCCTTCGTTTAGTTAATGTTACTTGAAAATTTTTCCACTCCCAACGCTGCTCCACCACATGTGCAAAAACAACATGCCCATTTCCACAGGCTCCAGCGATCTGAGTGCCATCTATTGACCACGCGATGTTAAATATACTGCCGGTGTTGGGCTTTTCCAAAGCATATGACCACTGGGGAAGAAAGAATGAGAGTAAAATCAATTCACTGGGAAAAAAAAATTTAAAGGAGTTTTAAATTGAGCATACATTTTAAGATAATTTTTTAAAAGAATGTGGTTTATCCTAGAATTGAGAAATTTTTTTCTTGATAGATACAGATGTAATTTTTAAAGTACACTGTAGAATAATATGATAAAAGTGTATAAAATCTCTCAAGAACTGCAAAACACTCACACTGTTTCCATTCACATCACTACTTTTAAGTAATAATGCTGAATTGGTAAATAAAAAGTCTGTAGAAAAGAAAAAAAAAAGACACCTTACTGTTCTTAAGGACCTCTATAGTCCTTACACTGAAAGGCTGATTATAATAGATCAATAATTTTATGTCACTAAAAATTGAAACTGAAGACACAATATAACTAAGACATCTCTGACACACATTTTAAATCATGAAAGAATAGGTTAATGGACCTTTTTTTCTTGTTTTTTCTTTCATGATGTAGTAATATAACCTCTTCTAGAATCTACTTATCTCTCTGAGAAAGTTATCTAAAGGTATCAAGAAGCATCATCTAAGACAAAGGAGACTTATGTGTGTGTGTGTGTGTATGTGTGTGTGTGTGAATAAGACAGTCAGAAAAAGCCTTATAAAAGATGGCATAACATGCATTTTCTTTCATTTTTCAGATGCAAAATATGTATTTGCTAGAAGGATGATTTATTTATTTGACTAAATTTGCATACATTCCCTTTCCATTCTTCCAACCTTACAGCTTAAAGTCAAATTGAGTCTTGATTTTTTTGTTGTTGATATTTTGGTTGTTCTTGAGTGCATATTTATTTTGCTGTACATTATTGTTGCTTCAAATATATTCATTGTTAGCTACGGGTTCAATGACAAAAAATGTGGAGAAAATGGAAAAAATATAGAAAAATATTCATTAATTCATAGTACTATCAAAAAAGATTTTAAATTCTCAATAAAGTTCATACATACAATAAAAATGCTGAATGACTCTTACTACTCACTGACACTTTTTTCAACTGTCCTTCAAACCTCTACCTATTGCTTAAGTAAAAGGCCCTATAAGAAAGTTATCGAGGAGGAGATAATGAACAAACTTTCCCTTCAGCAGCAGCATAAAAATGTTAAAAACCTCCTTTTCTGAAATTAAGAAGAGTAAGTTCAACAAAGGAAAATATACAATAGTTGAAGTCATCTTTTTAAAAATAAGTGAAGACAATATCAACAATACAAACAATCTACTTCTGGCAATAAAAAAAATTCATTTATGTTTGACAAACAGAATTATGACATACTGCATGACTACTATTTTACATAAAAATTATGTGGTTGGTATAGACAAATGAAACTCAATTTATTAATATGTAATAATAGATTGGACTAGGCTTATGGCACATCTATCATTCTAAATTTATTCTCATGGTGTAGATGCAAGAGAGATCTTATTTTATTTTTTTTAAATGTGTATTTATTTATTTTTGACAGAGAGAGAGAGACAGCACAAGTGGGACAGGGTCAGAGGGAGAGAGAGAGAGAGACAATCCCATGCAAGCTGCTCACTGTGAGCACAGAGCTCGGAGTGAGGCTTAAACTCACAAACCATGAGATCATGACCTGAGCTGAAATCAAGAGTTGGATGCTTAACTGACTGAGCCAACCAGATGCCCCAGAGATCTTATTTTAAATTGTATTTTAAAACCATAGATTCATATTTTAAAACTATTTACTTTAAAGTATGATTTTAAACTACCAAAAGAACCAAAACAGCCAGAAAGAAACATCTTACTAAAATTAAACATAACAAAATGTATCTAAGAACTCCTAGAGGCTTGATCCTAGCTAAGAGGAGAAAAGGGAAAGGGATGTTTAGATAATACTTTCATCACCCTATATTCCTCTGATGTCTTTCATACTCCAGGTACAACAAATATAAAATCTGCACAACAGGGACGTCCACTCTCACCACTGTTGTTTAACATATTGTTGGAAGTCCTGGCCACAACAATCAGACAACAAAATGAAATAAAAGGCATCCAAATTGGCAAAGAAGAAGTCAAACTTTCACTTTTTGCAAATGACATGATACTCTACATGGAAAACTTGAAAGACTCCAACAAAAAACTGC